TCTGCTCCTTACGAAGCTCATAAACGACCTTTAAGCGATAAGAACTCCTCAGATGACTTCTGATTAACATTTATTTTTACCGTGATTTAACTTTCAGGGTGAGTTCTTAGAGCACAAGGGTTGTTTGTAAGTTTGTCTAAAGTCTATTATGGTTAATTACATTTCTTAAATCAGCTTTCTGAGGAAACCCGGTTGAACTAGCAGCGTGATCTCGTGCGGTATAACAGCACAAACTACACTGGACAGGTGCTGATGTTTTAACATGTAGTAGAGGTCCAAACATTAACGAGATTATTGCAAAAACGGGATGAATGCATGTGTCTTTGTTTTAACACGGGTCACAGTGCAGCATGATTTTTAAATTAGTTTCAGGCCATTTATTTTTATTTATTGTGAATTCTGACACATATGTTGCATGGTGAACCTAAATATGGGCCTGAAAGTTGTAGGTTGGGGGGGGGGGTATTTTCTTCCAATTAGTTAGAAGCTCGTATAAAACAATTCTTAAACTCTTAACAAGGATGTCCAGGCAAAGTTATTGAAGTAGCACTTTCATTTTGTTTGCTGGCTTGCTTTTGTAATAGCTAAACTACACTAATTTATTTTTATAAAATATGGATCATTGAACAGTGTTTTATGGTTTTCGGAGCAGTTTAAAAACTCGCCTCCATGTTCAGGAGCCACTTTAGCTCGAGCTGTTGTTACACAAATGCAGATTAACTTCACTGATGAATATTTTACTTTAATTTCACTTAGCAGGATTGTGTTTGAGAGAAGTGATGTGAGCTGCTCCTCCATTTTAATGACAAAACACTTGATTTAAACATTAATGCCGCTGCAGATGTATATCCAGAGGAGGGAAATGGGGCAGAAACCTGAAGGAGAGGATCTCATCAGGTTTGGACAGTAAGTGCTCCGACGAACAAAACAGCCATGCATAATGTAGAAACATCCATTTGTCATCTCTGAGTGTGACAGGGAGCAGAAACAAAGATCACCTCATTACTGTCATTATCACAGAATAAAAATCTAAAGGGAGGTTTGGAGAGGGCACAACATGGTCCCACAGTCAGCTTTAATTTTGGAGGGATTGTTCCTTTAAAAGCACCTGCTGTCAGATATGACTCCCACTAACAGAGAAGCAGGATCTTAATTATCCCCTCAGGACCAAATGTTGGACCCCATCAGCTGATTAACCCCTTAGCAGTCGGACGTACCGCCCACGGGACATTGGATGGTTTAGGGGACTAATTGGACTGCTAAGGGGTTAAAGACACAAACTTCTTGTAATCAGTCAATGGACGAGTGTCTACTGGATATTTTTATCTCTTTCCATGTATGAGGCTGACTGTGGAGATTTTTCAGCTTCTTTTCTTTTACATTATAAATAAATTAAACTTCAAGTAAGCGTAAGCCTTCACTGTGGGCTCCAACATTTTCCCCTTGAATAACAGCTGAATACATCATTACACACCAAAAATAACATAAAACACTTAGAAAAGCTAAACGCTGTAATAATCACTTTATTTCAGTCAGAAAAAACAGCTTCAAGCTTTAAAACACATTAGGCTGGCAAACACCAAGCAGATGTAGCTTTAGCTCGGTAAGCTGCCTACACTGGCTAACAGCTCATTTAAGCACAACTGTTTACCTCCAGTTAGCGTTCAGTTGAAGAGAAGGACAAATATATACTTAGCTGTTGTATAATTAGAAAAAAAAAAGTTTTATCCCTGTTTACTTTATTTAAAGAATGCAAGAATATTACATAAAAAACTACTAACTATTATATTATATTATATTATATTATATTATATTATATTATATTATATTCTTTAAAAAAATACTTTCATTTGCTGAAACCGATAATGACTTAAGAAGACGAGGCTCCTGTAGAAAGGTACCTCAGAGTACTTTGCTATCAAAATTGGAATTAAAGTTCATTACAGTGTGTACTTAATTAAAGCTCTTTGTATAAATTTCCAGCAGCTGAAAGATGGCTGTTTGTCATGCTTCCACCTGGTGACAATAAACAGTTACAACATGTAACTGATGGGCTGACGGCTCTGCATGGAACCAACACACAACTAAACTACACCCGCAGCACTGCTGCACAGTGATATATATATACACAGGAAAGGATTTGTATCAAAGGAAGAATTTTTATAATAATAATAATAATAATCGTTGAAATTGTATGTGCTATCATTAAAATTATTACAGCTATTATGACTAGTATCAATACTGTTTATCTCATCACCATTTCCATGAATGAAGAATTTCTTGATGTATCATTTATGTATAAATGCATATGTAGACTGGTATTAATTTAGCAGTAATGCATCCTGAAAACCTGAATATATTAAAGACAGATTTTTCCCTTTGTTTGAATGTTTGAATGCAAAGTTTTGTGACTGAAATGTTTTAAATACTGCATGTTTTATGTTACATTTACAAATTGTTACAAATTTTACAAATTACAAATTGTTCCGATTTTGTCGATTTTATCAGCAGCGCTGATAAATGGACTGATTGTGAAATTTATTGAGGTTGTGTATGAATTTATTGCGTAGTTCAGACACAAAAAGAAGAGTATTTTACTGAGTTATTTGAAACAGTACAAATACTTATGGTACTTGCAGTACACATTCTGCTGTACTCACAGCTCTGATAGCGGCCTCAGTGATGTACAACATGTGGTCTGTGGCTCCACCTGCTGTATGACTCATACTAATAATAACAAGTTTACTTTTATTTCAGCAATTTTTCAGTGAGAAGTTTTTGTTTTTATTGTGTTTCACCTTCATTTGTTTCAGCTGAAACATAATTTACTGTCATATTTTTAATGTACGGTATATGTTGCTGAATAAAGTGTCCTTATTCTTATGATATTTGTGTCTTTAACAGTAAATTTTCTATTTTTGATTTTAAGGCAACAAAAATGAGACAGGCTCAGTTTCTTCTTTCTTTCTCTCCTTTTTACGATTCTTCCTTTTTTTTGTAAGTGTTATAATTTTCATGTATTTCTTCTTCTGGTTTGAAATCTTGAAGTGAAAGTGAAGTGAAATCTAGATTTGTCTTGGATCATTACAATACACACACATATATATATTATTATATATTATATATTTTATTAATTCAATGTATTTAAACCAGTTATGTTATTCTGTTGTTACTATATTTATTGTATTACGTTTTTGTTTATATTTTATTTTCATTTTGATATTTTATCTTGTTAACCTTT